ATTTGTTTGAGTTCTTTGTAGATTGAGTATCAGCCCTTTATCAGATGTATAGTTTGCAGATATTTTCTCCCATTCTGTAGGTTGTCTGTTTGCTCTGTTGATTATTTCCTCAGCTGAGCAGAAGCTTTTTAATTCAATCAAGTCCTATTTATTTATTTTTGTTGTTGCTGTAATTGCCATTGGGGTCTTAGTCATAAATTCTTTGCATTGGCTGATGTCTAGAAGAGTTTTATCTATATTTCCTTCTAGAATTCTTATGGTTTCATGCCTTATATATAAGTCTTTTATCCATCGTAAATTAATTTTTGTGAATGGTGAGAGATATGGATCTGGTTTAATTCTTCTACATGAGGCTATCCAATTTTCCCAGCACTATTTATTGACTAGGGCTTCTTGTCTCCAGTGTGTATTGTTGTTTGCTTTGTCAAAGATCAGTTGGCTGCATGAGGATGGTTTTATAGATGTTTCTAATAGCGTGGCACAGTCTTATGTATTTATGGTTACTCTGTAAAATAATTCTATTAAAATAGACCTATTAACTATTATTAAAATAATTAACATGCATATTAAATTATACCATATTGAAATATGATCTTATATGGTAAAATAAGCAGTATTTTCTGGACACTTGTATTCTATAATAGTTCCAACTTCCCTTCTAACAGGTATGAAACCTTGGAAAATTTCCAGCTATTGTCTTGACCATGTTGTATTAGCAAGAATTTCCTCATCTGTAACAATAGGAGACTGTATTACCTCTAAGATCGTTTCCCAGTCTAAAATTATTTGGTTGTGTGATTTAATTTGTACAGTATGCTTCTTTATTTAGTAGATATCACACGTAAGATCAAATGTCTCTGTTCTATGATAAAAACCAATTTCCGTTAATGATCTTGGAGTTACCAAAGGAAACTCCAGTTTAACTATATCAAACTGTAACTATTAAGAACACATTTAAACCGAACATAACAAGACTTTAAAGAGAGATAATAGTAGTTTCTCCACAATATCCATAACAATTAGTGTTCAGTGATGTGAATAGTGTAGTCTTTTCTTCGTTATTCTAAGTTACTAGATAAAACTGTAAGGAGACAATGTAGTTCATTTCTAATACAGTACCAGTACAAATGATTGTCCTATTTAGATGACATTGCTCAATATTGATATTAAGTATATAGTGGGATATTTAACTATAAGACTAACCTTAGTTAACCAACCTTTTTCTCAATCACTTAAGGTATAGTAGGAGGATACTAAAGATGTAAAACACACTGATTATGATGTGACCTTCTGTTATTGTCAGTAACTGTTATCCAATGATGATTTGATTCCATTGTTTGTCCTGCATTTATATGTATTAATATATATAATTTTATTTATATGACAATATTTTTTATATATGTGTGTGTGTGTGTGTGTTTGTGTGTGTATATATATATATATATATATATATATATATATATATATATATATATATATATATATATATATATCCTCCAGAATGTTATACAATGGCATAAAGGGAAATTATGTATTTTGGATCAAGCAGGCCTAAGTTTGTATTTAAGTTTTATCAGTCACTATCTCTCTTGTATTTATAAGTTACTTAAGCTCTGTGAACCTCAGTTTTATCATCTGTAAAATAGGGATCAAAGGAACTACCTCATGGCTTGGGTGTGAGACTACAGTAATATATTTCAAGCACATGGTACAATGCCCAACCCGTAGTAGACATTCAACAACTAGATTGACACTGTAGTAAAGCATAGATACTTTAAAGTTTTATCGATGTAGGCAGCAAGTCAAGGAGGTTTTTTAAATGAAGTATATAACTTTATATCTATAAAGCTGTGGTCCCCAACCCCCAGGTTGCAGAGCAGTACCAGTCTGTGGCCTATTGGGAACTGGACTGCACAGCAGGAGGTGAGCGGTGGGCAAGTGAGCTAAGTTTCGTCTTTACGTACAGCCACTCCGCATCACTTGCATCACCGCATAAGCTCCACCTCCTGTCAGATCAGCAGCGGCATTACATTCTCATAGGATCCGCGAACCCTACTGTAAACTGCACACGCAAGGGATCTAGGTTGCGTGCTCCTTATGAGAATCTAATGCCTGATGATCTGGGGTGGAGCTGAGGCAGTGATGCTAGTGCTGGGGAACAGCTGCAAATACAGATAATCATTAGCAGAGAGGTTTGATTTGAATCATCCTGAAACTATTCCCCCGACCCCCCATCCGTGGAAAAAGTGTCTTCCATGAAACCGGTCCCTGGTGCCGAAAAGGTTGGGGTCCGCTGATACAAAGTATAAAGTATATAAATATGCACTTACTAGAGGACCCAGAAATTTCACTTCTAGGTATTTATGTAACAGAAATGAAGGTATAGTTCCACAAAATGATCTGTATGTAGGTATTTATAGCAGCTTCATTATAATAATAAATGTCAAAAACTGGAAATAAGCCAAATGTCCATCAACTGGTGAGTGAACATACAGATTGTGGTACTAGATGTACCTGTACAATGGAATACTACTTAGTGGTATAAAAGAATGAGGTACTGATACTTAGAGAATGTGAATGAATCTCAAAAGTATATGTTTAAATGAAAGAAGCCAGACTCAAAAGACTGCATACTGTTTGATTCCATTTCATTTGTATGACATTGTAGAAAAGGCACACCTATAGGGACAAAGATCATATTATTGATTGCAAGGGGATGGGTATAAAAGGAAGGCATTGAATGTAGTGTTGCACAAGGGAATATTTTGGGTTAATGGGAATATTCTATATCTTAATTGTGATGGTTGTTACATGACTGTATAAATTTGTCACAATTTACAAGATTGTGTACTGAAAATGGATGAATTTTTACTTTGTATGTATTATAACTCACTAAGCCTGACTTTAAAAATCCATACGTAGGCTGGGCACAGTGGCTCATACCCATAATCCCTGTACTTTGGGAGGTTAGGGTGGGAGGATTGCTTGAGGCCTGGAGTTTGAGACCAGCCAGGGCAACATAGCGAGATCCCGTTTCTACAAAAGAGTAAAAAATTATTAATAGCAAGGTGTGGTGGCATACAATTGTAGTCCTAGCTATTCGGGAGGCTGAGGTAGGAGCATCACTGGAGCCTAGGAGTTTGAGGCTGCAGTGAGCTATGATCATGCCACTGCACTCCAGCCTGAGTGACCTTGTCTTTAGAGTAAGATCTTGTCTCTAAAAAAAAGCCATGTGTATACCTATTTGATATTGCATATATATTTTATTTTGATAAAATTTACTAAAAATATGACTGTAAGCAGAAAGAGTGTCATATATGTGTAAAATATTTACCTAAAACTATGACTATATATAGAAATCCTCATTCATTGTAGGCTTTGCTCAAAAAAATTTAACATAAAACAGAAAAAAAAAGAGAAGCAAAGGAAAGGATGCTTAACATAAAACATGAAGTAATATGTAAAAATAAATCCAAATATATCTATAATCATAGCACATATGTAAGAAGATAAATATTGTGAGTTGATACATCTGTCAATATGAATAAATGTGAAAAGTATAATACTGACCAAAAAGGCAATTATCTGTGAAGTATGTAGAATATCACTTATATAAAGTTAAAAAACCTGTAAACAATAACATATGTTATCTATGAATACATAACTATATAGTAAAAGTATAAAATACTATTGAAAATGGTGAACCCAAATTCATGGAAGTGTTTCGCTTTGGGGCTGGGAAGAAAGGGAATGTGACTGGTGAGTGTGATATGTGGGGTGGGATGGGAGATTTTTTTAATCTGAAGCAAAATAACAATTTTTAAAAAAATTAAAGCAAGGTTTATAAGTGTGTATAAAATGCTATGAATTTTGTAGATAAGTGTATTTATTTGGAAATATATATATGCTTGTATATGTGTGGAATATCTCTGGAAGGATATGTAACAAGCAGTTAACTGCTAATCTCAGAAGAAGGGATTTGTAGTACTGAGATGGGAGATTTACTTTACGTTGTACATTCTCTTATACTGAGTTTTGTTGTTTTATTTTATCTTATTTAAAAAAATTTTTTTAGAGACAGTCTCGCAGGAACAGGCCTACGCTGGTCAGGAATTGTTAGTTTGTTTTATTGTGTGCATGTATTTATGTGTGTATATGCATAAATGAATGTAAGTAGTTTTACTAAAGTAATTGCCAGAAATATGAGAATATGTGATGCCAGAAATACAGGAAAAAATTTTGCTAATTTCCAAAATGTTTTTGATATGAAATTTATTTTTGATCAGTAGTATGATAGTATTGTATGATATTAATAATGAATCTAGGAAATACAGTAGAAGTAAACAGCACATTTAAATTAGTTAAGTGTTTTTATACTGCGTGTAACGGATATCCAGCTCAAACTAGCCTAAGTCCCACTCATCCTCCAAAAAGGATGTATCTACCCTGGATGTTCAAGAAATGGATATGGATCTGTCTTCTGGCATATGTGGATCCAGTAGTACAAATGATATTATCAGGATTTAGTTTTCTTCTGGGGCTGGTGGGATGGAGTACTCTAGTTGGACAACCTGGATCTTATACCTGAGGTGATGGGGGATGAAGTTTATCTTAGCCACAAGGAATAACAGTATTACTGTGGCATAGGGTAAAGGTTTTTCCCCCAAAAAACTAAAAGCTGGCCAGATAAGCATATATCTGATAAAGTAAGGAGGTTGTAAAACCGGGAAGTTTATAATAGCTTTAAAAATTGTACCAGGGCCTATACAGAAAATTAGACATTGGGGATTGAGAAATTGAATGAATTGTTAGGAGGCAACACCAAAATTCATAGCCAACTAATTGTAGGAGGAGAAAGTGAAATGTTCAATATCACCTGGAGCATGGGAATTTAAGTAAAGTTCTTACAATTCCATTTTCATTACAAAAGTCTCTAGGCAAAAACTTCATTTTGGTATTTTCCTACAGGAATATTATTTTTTTGTTTGGTTGGTTTTGGTTTTGGTTTTGGTTTTGGTTTTGGTTTTCTTCAGAGGTACCAGGTAAAAACCTTCAAAATTATCATCTTATTTTAGCATTTGCATGTATTTAGCCTTGGCACATATTTATTTAGCAAATTCTCTGTTACTTGCCTAACATTTGATATTCCTTAAATAACGCAACAGGATTTCTGAAGTTTTGTAAGTTGAATGTGGTATGTCCTTTTTAAGTGATTTGTTTTGACTTGCTATTAGTCGCAGTGGATATCTGTGTTTTCAAAGTTACCATTTCAGTCATATTTTATGGTATATTGGAAATTGGAAAAGCTGTTATTAATTATTGATGTTAAGAATTAACCATCTATTTTTATTTTAAATTCTTTTCCCTAATTTTTGGGAATGTTT